GGGTTGGTTAAGAGTGGCCACGCCGAATCTGGTGCGGGTCGCGCTGCCGGGGCCGGTGTTTCTCCAGGACGGGTTGCTGATGTGGGTCTGGCCACTCAGTGAAGCTGCAGGTGGGGGGTCAGATGGCAATCATCTCCCTTTGCAGACGGACTTCAAGACAGCCGATATGGATGTGAACACAGATCAGGATATCGAGAAGAACTTGGTGGGTATCGAAGCCCTGCGATCGGGTCCAGGCTCTGCCGCTCGCGCTCCCGTGCTGCCGTTCCCCGCGCAAAGGAGCTGGAGCGCTGCCCTTCCCACAGGGTGTTTTTTCTCTTTTTCATGCCAGCCTTGGAGTTCTTAAGCTGTCCTCTCTCAAGGAGGAGGTGCAGTGCTAGCTGCAGCTGCGAGCAGTGCCTCCCTTCATCTTTTCTGATCTAGAGAGCCTGAGCTTTGACAATGGAAGCTGTTTAACTGTGATTCTTGATGGTGGCACCTTCTGGGCTCTTATACACTGCTGAGCTTTCCTGCCCTTGTCCGCGCTCTCTTTAGTGTGAGGGAAATTTTCTCCCTGAATTTTCGCTCTCTGCTGCAGGACAAAATGATGTCCGAGAGGGCTTTGTTGAAGGAGCGCTACCAGGAGGTGTTGGACAAACAGAGGCAAGTGGAGAATCAGCTGCAGGTACAGCTTAAGCAGCTCCAGCAGCGGAGAGAGGAAGAGATGAAGAACCACCAGGTATTTGGCGAGGTCTCTTTTTGTTTAACCTGCCCGTTAGCACTGTGGCTTACACGATTAAGGTGGGCTGCTTTGGCCTCGCGTGGAGGGGCACAGCGGGGAGCAAAGCAGGCCATGAGAAGTGGCAGTGACACGCCGCATGGCAGTGTCTCTTGTGTACTACAATGTTTTACAGCGCTGAGGACTGGCTCCTGCCCAAATCGTGGTGCCGAGCAGTTCAGAACTCATTCCTAACGCAGCATCCTGTGTGCGCATCCGCTCCTGCCAGTGATCTTGCAATGTCTCTTCAGCAAGCACGGCGTTTTTTCCAAATGAAAACTGGGGTGAAGTGAGGAGAATTAGCTCCCTGTGATTATTTAAATCTCTCTGGCCATTGCTCATAGATCATTAGGTTAAATGAGTGATTTGCAGCTGGCCCTGTGGCAGCTCACCTTAAGACAAAAGGAACCATCAGTGGCCCATCGGCTAGATCTAAAAAAGAGCAGAACTCACTGCCCCTTAAAATCCTGCTAAAGAGACAGGAGAACCCCCTGGGTTTCCTCGTAACAACTGCTATATATCTTGTCTGGATCTACTAAAAAGAAAGGTTTTGATGACGTGCGTAATCTCATAAACTCTCTTCAATTAATCTGAAATAATAATGGATTTAAAACCAAAACCATTACTTGGGAATTTTGCTCTTTATTTGTGTGATGCTTGTTTTACTCTAGGAGATCCTGAAAGCAATTCAGGATGTTACGATCAAGCGAGAAGAGACAAAGAAGAAGATGGAGAAAGAAAAGAAAGAATTCTTGCAGAAAGAGCAGGATCTGAAAGCAGAAATTGAGAAACTCTGTGAGAAAGGCAGAAGGTATTAGTATGGAAAAGCAAGTAGAGGTTTTCTTTAGGAGGAAGGGTAACCCTGCTGTGTACGTGATTAAGCAAAAGAGGATCACGTTAAACTTCTTGGAAGCAACGAGTATTTTGGCGAACAGTTTAGGACAGACCTGTACGATTTTGAATGGATCTAGCAGCTGAATGGACAGAGCAGCTTTTCTTTACAGAAGATCTCAACGTGAATTTTGGGGCAGCAGGTTATTGCTTTGCCTGTTAGGTGTATGCATGGACAGCACTTGGCGAGGATAACGTGCAGCTCAGCTCTGTGTGCTGCCGTCTTTCAGAATCCAGAGCCTTTCCGCGGGAGGCAGGACTGCTGTGTTGCAGTGCCAGGGGTAGGGTCTCGTTGGCCTTTCCAAGTTGTTCTCCCCAAAATTTCCCATTTCGGTAGGCTGCTTGACTATGCCTTACGCCGAATGGTTTGAAAGACTGACTGCTGCTGTCAGGCTTTGCTGTACGGCAGGCTGTGTGCTCTGTGCAAAGAATCTCACTAGATTCGGGGCGGGGGGTCTAGCAAGATGCGAGTTGTTTGTAAATATCTGAAGGTTCCTTTGGATGGTGAATTTGCACGTTTACAGAGCCATTCCGTCATATCGTAGAGGTCTTTTTTTTTTTTTTTTAATTCTGAGGGCTTGGTGATGTTTTTGGATAAAGCTCCTCTAGTAATGGTTCCAAGTACTCAGCCCCTGTTTCACCCCCAGTGAGTGGTTGCAAAGCACGTGTTGTCAGAGCAGCACAGCTCCCTGTGGTGGATTCTGGTTCTGTGCCACAGTCTTTGTGCAGTGTCATGATACAGCAAAATTTTTGCCCTGGAGGATGTTAGTGGTTGCTTTCAAACATCTATTGAACGGTGCAGTCTTCAGAGTGTGTTGTTACGTTGGGCGCACAGCTGTGCCAGTATGTTGTTTAAACTGGGACCTGCGGCATTAACGGCTGGGCGATAACACCTTCGCAGCAGGTGACTCCGTCTGTCCTTTTTCTCTTGCGCAGGTTGCTGAAAGAGCAGGAGGAGAAGGAAAACAAGATTGCTTCTCTGATTGCAGAGCAGTCCGATGAAAAGTAAGGCGCTCTTCTATTACCGGATTAATGCTGTTGAATACTCTTTTCCTTCCAGTCATTTTGCCTTGGAGTGAATCTGATGCTTCTCGTGGGGTAGGCTAGAAAGAGTGGTCTAACACTATGTGCTGTCTAGCTACGTGCTGTAAAGGTTTTATCTCCTCTTCCAGCAGGCTGAAGCCCCCAGTCTCTGGATTAAGTCCTCTTTGATCCTGGTCACAAGCAGGCTCGTAGATGCTTGGGACATAAAGATCCCGTAAGATTAGAGTTTCTGCTCAGTGGATCGACTCAGCTTGTAACTGCTACCTCGGATTGCGTTTCAACTTCCCGGAATTAGGGCAAACCTATTCCTCTATCTGTTCCCCACGGCTGCCCAGCTACTCTAAACTCTGGCAGGCTCGGATATTTCAACGCTGGGCAGAGAACCTTCCAGATGCAGGCATAGATGCTCACATAGCACAGGTGGAAAGGGCCAGCTTTAAACTTCTCCAGGATCAGAACGGCTTAGTTCTGTGTGCTGGTTCAGGTTACTTCCTGGTTCCGACCTGTGCACCTTTCCCTGGAGTTGGACTGAATTTTGCCGAGGGGAATTCCCCTCTCCTCATTTTGCCCAGCGTGTTTGCACACTGGTTGTTTGCGTGCTCTGGAACAGCTCACTCTTGGGACGGTGACTCATGCAGCCTTGGGACCTCTGGGACACATGGCTGGTGTCATGGTCTGGAAGCTGTCGATCCTCCACGGTTCCACCCCATCCAGAGCTACCAGGATCGATCGATGGTTTTGTGGGAGTTTGTCAGCTCTCCTGTTCCACGCCATTCCAGAGCCTAAGCCTAAGCCTACTCATTCTGTTTCTGTCTGCAGGCAGCTATGGGAGATGGAGCTAGATAAGCTGAAGAACCAGCACAATGAAATCAACAGGAACATTCTTGAGGAGACAGAACGGGCCTGGAAAGCAGAGGTTAGTAGGTGACTTCTCACCTGCAAAGCAGTTGTTGAAGAGAGTCTTTTTTAAGATTCCAGGTAAAACGAAGTCCCCCTCTCCGTGGGACAAGAGAAGGGATAAGCAAAGATCAGTGCAGTAAACGTTAGTCCGAACTAACTAACTTAGCGTAGTGCTTAGTGAAGAGATTACAGTCGCAGTCTGGCAGCAAGAAACACGGGAGTACAAAAACTGCTCTTCATGTGGGGCTTCTCTCTGCCAGATCCTGTCCCTGGAGAGCCGAAAGGAGCTGCTGGTGTTGAAACTAGAAGAAGCAGAAAAAGAAGCAGAGCTGCACCTCACCTACCTCAAGTAAGCCCGTGTAGTCTCAGAAATGGCAGGGTAACTCAAGTGTCCCTACGTACCCATCTCCTCTTCCTCCATGTACTCTGGAGGTTTGACTGAAGTTGTTCAAGGTTTCCTGTGGCTTTCTTACTGAAATAACGTGATTCGGTAATGTCACAAAACAAAGGTACATGGGGCTGTGCTTATTCCCTCTTACTGTTCATCTGCTCAACGTGTGCCGTGCTCTTGACAGAGTGCTGTAGGCACGGCGTTGGCTGTGGTGTCCGTGTCTGTCTGCCAGATCAGTCCGCACTCTGGTAGCACCACGCTCTCCTCTTGCGGGATTTCTCGCCTGGGCGTGCGCCCTTCTTCCCGCCCAGCTGGAGGAGGGGAGCCCTGATGGCAGAAGGCAGGAGGGTGTGGGGTGTTAGTTGCTCCCACTTTGCTGCCAGTGAGAGCACAGTTGCAAGTGGGAAAGTGTAGTTGTGCTTGCAGGTCTGCACCACCCACGCTGGAGACGATGAGGCCAAAGCAGGAGTGGGAGATGAGGCTGAACAGGATACGAATGACCAAGGAAAGTGTCCGAGTAAGTTCCTGCCAAACGGCTCCCAGCCTAACAGCGAGCAGTTCTTCACATTGACGCTACTTTGCACGCTCAGTCTCAACCCTCTTTGGGAGAGGACCAAGACCCAGAAAAAGCTGTGTGCCCAAAGGCACGGCACAGTCGGTCTGCCTTTGCGAGCAGTTGCAGAGATCTTCTGCCTGCCTCTTCAGGCTCGTGCGTGTGGATGAGCCTCGTGGACATGAAAGCAGCGTGTTGGGTTAATCGCAGAGGCAGTTATTCTGTTTCTCCCTCCGGGTGCTTTTTCATTCTCTTGACTCCTGTGGAACCAAACTGTGTCCGCGTTAGTGCCCGCAGCCGTTCCGGGGCTGAGAGTGCTCTGCCCAGGCAGGGCACCCTGCCTGTTCTGAGCATGCAGTGCCCAAAACTTCCTCAGGCAGAGGCTTTGATAAATGCGTCTGTTTTCTTTCCTCTCTTCTAGGATCAGTTCAACGACCACATTCAGATGGTGAGAAACGGAACAAAGCTGAGCAGCCTCCCACAGATCCCAACCCCGACGCTGCCACCTCCACCCTCCGAAGTGAGTGCCTCTCCCGCCTAACAAATACAAGCTTTCACTGCTGGGAAGTTGCTGTGAGACTCTGGGGACAGCCTGCCCGCTGGCCTGTAACTGGCAGTGCCTGTGCTATGTGCGTTGAAGGAGGCTGTGTGGGATTGCCTTTTCTGGAGTCCCGTGCTCGTCCCCTGTCCGTTTGGGCTTACCTGCTGTCCCTGGTGAGGAGGGGAAGGGTCTCTTTCCTTTGCCGCGAGGAGTATGGCTGCCAGTGCCTGCGGTTCGGCCCGCCTCCTCTCTGGCTGGGGAGGAAGGCACCTCGGCTCTGCTTTCAGATGGGCTTATTCTAACCAGCCTTTTCTTCTCCCCCTGTTTTTCTTTCTCAGACAGATTTCATGCTGACGGCATTCCAGCCCAACCCATCCCTTACTCCCAGGCTCCCGTTTCCCATCGGACCAGTTCCCGTTCCCATGGTCATGCCAAGTGCTGATCCTCGGGCGCTCTCCTTTCCTCTCCTGAACCCTGCGATCTCCAGGCCCAACCAGCCTTCCCCGCCGCTGCCTGCTTCCCAGGGAAGAAACAGCCCTGTAGTGGCATCGCTTATTGGCACGCACAGCCCCCACATGACTCCCGCTGCCTCCATCCCTCCTCCGCCAGGCCTGGGAGGAGTTAACGTCACTCCAGAGTTTCACAGGCTGCAGCCGGCCGATAAGCTGGAAAAGCTGCTGGAGAAGTTGTTGACTCGGTTTCCACAGTGCAACAAGTAAGTGTCTCGCGGTGTCCTTCCCGGAGAGTGAAGGCTTGCGTGTGGGACGTGAGCTGGGGTGAGGGGAAGTGGAGCCCCTCTTGGCGCTTGCGGGGTCTGGAGGGAGGGAAGCCCGAAGGCAAGGAGCAAAGGCTGGGTGCCCTCTGTCGGGTTTGCCATAGCACTAAGTTGTTGACTCGGTTTCCACAGTGCAACAAGTAAGTGTCTCGCGGTGTCCTTCCCGGAGAGTGAAGGCTTGCGTGTGGGACGTGAGCTGGGGTGAGGGGAAGTGGAGCCCCTCTTGGCGCTTGCGGGGTCTGGAGGGAGGGAAGCCCGAAGGCAAGGAGCAAAGGCTGGGTGCCCTCTGTCGGGTTTGCCATAGCACTGGGAATGAGAAACCTTTCAGCGTGCAGTTTGCCTCATTTAGATGATTGAGAGCACACGCTCCTTTGCTGTGATACGGGCTTCCCCCGGGGCCGGGGTGGTGGACTCGCCTGGAGCAGTGTTGCAGGGCCTTTGACGGAGGGTCCCCGTTCGTGGGGGCTGCTCGGCTCGCTGGCGGTGGCTGGGAGCTCTTAGCAGGCTGCTGTCCCTGCAGGGCCCAGCTCACCAACATACTGCAGCAGATCAAGACTGCTCGGAGGACCATGGCCGGTCTGACCATGG